ATTTTAGATTTTTTTAGATTTTGAAATTTATTTACGGTTTCAAGTATATTACATTTTTACATATATCACAACAAGTTTTTTTAAATAAATACAGCGAGGGAGGGCGAATTGACTATACAGTCTTCAAGTCAGCCACTCCGCTAATTACAGTTAGTTACTTAAAGTTGATTCAAGACTTGAACCATTAATGATAATACGATTGGAAAATAAAAAAATATATGAGCGTTGTTATGAAAAATAAATAAATTATAAGTAAACTACATGCAAATTACCCTGAGTCCCACATGATCCTAAAGATCACAATACAAAAATATACATATCCAGGTCCCAAATATATATATATATATATATATAGACTATCAGAAAAGAAAAAGCGCTCACAGACGCATAGCTGAACAATAATTGACAGGGAAAGAAAAAATTAAAGCACAACAATTGAAGATCACACAACATTCAGTACAGGCAACAAATCACACACAACGAAAATCCAACATAAAGGCCGCATCACGAAACCAGAAACTCCACAACCTGGGAAAAAATCACCGCAAATACAATCCATCAACTACCATCACACGTTGAAGCCGCAAAAAAAAGAATATAAGTAAAAAATATATAGAACCAATTGGACAACAGTCATTGCACATACTCAGTACACTTGTAAACATGCAAACAAAACCAAAAAAAGCAATTCACAAACCAATTAATCAAAACAAAAACAAAACAAAAAACAGGAAACAAAACAACTGCATTACAAGGCACATGCATGCCCATAGAACAAGAAATACAATTTTATTTGAACAAAATAAAAAATATATATATAAGGAATATAGATTCTACACCAACTGGACAACAGCTACCGCACATCACTCATTACACTTGTAAACATGCAAACAAAACCATAACAAACAATTCACAAATCAATTAAATAAAACAAAAACAAAAAAACGTAACTGCGTTACAAGGCGCAATGCCCATGCAGGGAGAACAAGAAACACAATTTGCATTGTTATCATAACCAAAAATATAAGAAAAAGAAGAAGAAGATTCTATTTATATGAACCTGAATAAGCTGTGCTTATTCGTATTTGGATATGAGAGTATCTCTGTAGGCTTTAACAAAGGTTTTGAAAGTCAATGTCTTTATGCTTGAAGGAAGTGTAGCCCATAATTTGACACCTCTGAATTTTAATGTTTTTGTACCCATGTTAGTAGAGAATCTTGGGAAGTACAGCGAGACGTTTAGAGAATATCGAGTAGAATAATTGTGTACACTAGCTGTCTGTTCTTCGAAAATAATTTTTAAACATCGTAGGCAATAAGTTAGAATTGAACTTGTAGGCCCTACACGAATTTCGCTAGTTCAATGTTGTAGATATCGTTTAGATTTAAGAGCTTCAGCTCACGATATAGTGGGATTACTTTGGTCCTTCTAGGTGCAAATTTAATTAGCCTAATTATTCTGTTTTGTATAGATATTAATGGTTTTAGAGCTGTTGAGGAAGCTGTTCCCCAACTTAGATTAGCATATTGGAGATATGGAAATGCAAGTGAGTAATATACAGTTAAGAGTGTCTGAGTATTTACATAGTGTCTTAACTTTGAGATGATGCCAGTAGTTCTTGCAAAGTTTACCAGATATATGTTTGATGTGTTGATTCCATTTCAGGTGATTATCAAGATAGATGCCCAAGTATTTTATGTGACTAGTTTGTTCAAGAGTGGAGTTTCCCATTTTTAATATTAAATGTCGGAAATTCGGACTTGTTGCTGATTATCATAAATTTTTTTTTTTATAGTTAATAGATAATTTATTGGATGCCATCCAATCATCAATGCTGGCAAGTTCTTCATTTACAATACTGTTTAAATTATTAATATTACTTCTAGACATGAATAAGTTGGTATCATCAGCAAATATTCTAGTTATAAAATTTGAAGCATTAGGGAGGTCATTTATATATATTAAGAATAGCAAGGGACCAAGAGTTGACCCTTGTGGTACCCCATATGAGACATGTAAATGGGATGAAGATGAAGTGCCAATACTTGTAAACTGCGACCTGTTTGTTAAGTAATGCTTTACGATAACGCACCTTCATTCGAAATTTGAAGATGATCCGAGAAGAACTGCAGCCGGTAGAGCGCTCACAAGAAAATCTCTACGGCGGCGGCGGCGCGACGATGACAAACCCATAGTATACCCACACACTTCGTTCGGGGGATACAATAACACTTTATGTATTAACACGTTAATTAGTAACACTCGTACGCAGCCTCCCTTGCTTGTGCCATAATGATCACGATGAATTTCCCACGAACATCAATGTACATATATTTACAAACATATACATACCTGGTCCACCTAACCGGACAGGGTTTTGAACGAAATATTGATTGCAGACATCACGGATGGAATTCTTCCAGTCCACAATAGTGCTACACGACTTGATTTTAAGATTGTGCATCATGTATTCCTGTGAGCTGGTGTTCCATGCCCAGAAGAATATGAATTTTACAATCTTGTATAGCTCTAAATGGCTTCCTAAAGAAATCATTAATGAAAAAAAAAAGTTTTATAATTTGAACGGACAGAATCTGTGATTAGCACTTGATATACTCGTTTACAAATTTCTTTTATCCGTCATAATTCGATTGATGCGTGCATTTCTATGCCGGCATAGCCACAATAACAATTATCGAAACCATATCATTTCAAGCTGGTTACACATACGTGTGAAGAAAGATCCTGTCCGAATGCTTTTCACCCTGCGACAGTTTTTATCAGTACATCGCCATGCCACACCGTCCGTACGCCTCATGCGCTGCTCCACCATCTCTCGCCCATTGCATGCAATGTTAGAACATTGCATATGCGTCGCCAACAGTCCGTTTGCTCGCAGAAACGCGATTGTACTGGGGGTGTCTAAGTTCGCATTATCCAGTTCCCTATCGGTTATGTCTGTGAAATTGCAAATATACTTATCAGCATATTAAATACTGGATTTACTTAAAAAACTCATACTATGGCCAATATTGCCAGGCGGAAATGCTGGATCTATGTATCTAGTTCATCAGTTACACAGAACTTTATATACATAAACATACATGTATACAAACACACACAGTGACGCACACACATACGCTCTTCTCTCTCTCTCTCTCTCTCTCATACACACGCGCACAGAAAAACGCGCCCACATACACACATTGTGACATATATACAGCACTAACTACTAGGGGCGAGTATTGCGACCAAAAACCGTATTGCAATATATTGCAATACGACAAAACCGTATTGCAATATTTTCCAATACGTATTGGGAAGTGTATACACTATACCATGCATGATATAGTAACAATTTGATGGTTTTAATATCATCATTTATTGTATTATATGACATGATTTAATTTCTCATGTTTTTCTTGAGAAACAGAAGCACGGCAATGTTTTCCGCTGACAGTGCAGCCTTCTGTGCAGTAACAATGTCACCCGCTGTACTGAATACCCTCTCGGAAGGCACTGACGTAGCTGCAATACACAATACAATAAATGAT